CTGCGCGCGAGTGATGCCCTGGGCATCTCCCACTCTCTACGTAAGGCGGAATGGAAGACCAGCAGCTGGGGAGTGTAAGAATGATGATGGTGATGATGAGGAGGAGGAGGCGGAGGAGGAGGGGAGGAAGGAGGAGGAGGAGGACGATGGGGATGGGGATGATGAGGACGGTGCAAGTGGTGATGATGAACATGGTGGGGGTGGTAATGATAATAAAATCGATACTATTCCGCTACTGTGCCCTTGAGGCACGAGTGGGAGAATCCTCAGGTGCTTTGCGGAATCCATCAAGCCTCAGTCCTCCATCCCGAGGATGATTTTGAGGGGCCCCGCCCCAAACGTCTCAAACCTCCTACCCAGGCTTCCCGCGCGCCCTCTGGCCCCGCCCCCCTCGCGGCTTTGCCGCATGATGTGTTTGGGCCCGAGAGGCCCCATGATGGGCTAAGGATTGCAAAAAAAACTCTGGGTTTGCAAAACAACTGTTTTTTTTGCAATCCTTGGGCGAAGGATTCCAAAAAGGCGATGGGTTGAAATCCTGATTTTGTTTTGCAATCCTTGGGTTTTTTTTGTGCAATCCTTGTTTTGTTTGAAATCTTTGGTTCCAAGAAGCCTCCAGGACCGTCCAAGAGAGCCCCGACTGTACGGAGCTTCCTCGCTGCGACACCGCGGGCAGGATGCACAGATCCACGCGCGATGCTGCAAGGGTAGAGCATCACAGCAGCCGAGAAGGCCAGCCTACGACATATTGGGATGCGGGAGTGTGAAACCTTCGGCGGCGGGGGGCCAACGAGAGCGGCCAATGATGGGCCGAGGAGGCAAGGATCGGGGAGACGTAAGACTCGGTTACGGGGGACTCGGGTTGGCCCGACGGGGCCAGCATAAAAATGACGAGACCCAATCTGAAATTTGACGCGAGCTCCCGCTGCAGACATCCCACGAACATTGGAGCGTCAAAATCCAGGGCGCGCTCCTCAAAAACCGCCGGCAAACCCGAATTCCGGCTTACTCGAGTCTTGCGTTTCCCCGGAAGGATGCAAGGGTACCCTTGGGAAGGTTGTCCATCCTTGTTATGCGGGTGGACTGTACCCTGTTGGCGAGGCCGCGGAGCTCCCTGGGGACGCGGTTGCGTGGCGCGCCGCTGCTGTGCGGATGACCGGCGACCCCTCTGTCCGCCAGAATTGCTGGAGGCCAAGGGCCGCCGAGGCCCCTGATCGATGGGAGGCCTGCCATGGCTCGGTCGACGACCGCTGCAGCAGCGACGAGTCTTAATAGTTTCAGATATACATATGTATGACTATATATATATATATATATGTATATGTGTGTATGTTTGAAAACGACGAGTCTTAAGACTTGTGCGGAGACGGGGCCCGCTTCTGCCCCTGTGGTAGCGGGGAGCGCCTACGGCCAGAACGTCGGGGCGTGCGCGGCCATGGATGACGAATGCGACCTTCTGCTCGCAGGCAAGGGGAGCTCGACTGGTGGAGGATGGGGGGCGGCCGAGGCGGCCGACCTGCCCGACCCGCACCTTCGCCATCGCTCGGACGTCCATTCCCTGTGCTTTTTGTCGGTTTCGTGCGTGGTTTTCTCGCCGAAGGATGAAGGATGCTCCTCGATGGTCTTCGCCGAAGGAAAAATGCGCACGTCCGAGCGATGCCAAGGCACCCCCCCGGCTGGCAAGAGAGGTGCATTCCTTCCGGCCGAGGGTAGGTTTAGGTCGGGCATGTCCCCCCATAGGCGGATTTTGGACGAAGCGTTGAAAATACCACCAACATGCAACAGATACTCAAAAATACAAGAAAATCGTCCCCAGACTATGTTTGACCTTTTCGAAATCTTCCCCCTGCAGAGGGACACGCCCGCCTGAAGGGTCGGTGCAGCATAGGGTGGCAGGGCGAGTTTAGCCTCGGCGGTCTCGCCCGCACAGATTTGGGCGCCCGAGTTATCCGGGGCAACTCGGGTCCGGGGTAAATCGGGTTCGGAATCCCGAAAAACCAACCCGAGTTAGCCCTGACCCGAAATACCCCTGATGATTCGGGGCTCTGGACGCCCGAATTATCCGGGGTAAGTCGGGTCCGGGGTAAGTCGGGTTCGGAATCCCGAAAAACCAACCCGAGTTAGCCCTGACCCGAGATACCCCTGATGATTCGGGGCTCTGACAGATGGCCAGCGATGCGCATTCCGCTGGGCTGGGGACAGGTACAGCTCAGGGAGGCCGCGCGTGTTCGGGTTCGGCGGCGTTGCCTCTCCAAATAGCCAGCGATGTGCATTCCGCTGGGCTGGGGGGGGCACGCGCGGCACGGAATGGCAGAGCGAGTCCCCGTCTCGGCGAGACTCCCCCCCGGATGGCCAGCGATGCGCACCCCGCTGGGCCGTGGACCTGTGCGGCGCAGAGTGGCGGCAGGGGCTCGGGATCGGCGGTGCCCCTGCAGATTGCCGCGGGGATGTGCGCCCCTCTGGGCTTTGGGACGACGCGTGCGGCGCAGAGTGTCGGGCTGGGCGGAAGGGGGGGATAGCAAAGGGGGGGTTTGAGAATCAGCTCCCGTAGCTGATTTTCCCGGTGCCTCCAGGCGCCGGGAGGCGCCCATGTGCCGAGGGATGGGCCCGGCGGCGGGGCCGAAACTACCTGCATGCAGCAGATTTCGTAGCGAGGAGGAGGAGGAGGAGGAGGAGGAGGAGGAGGAGGAGGAGGAGGAGGAGGAGGAGGAGGAGGAGGAGGAGGAGGAGGAGGAGGAGGAGGCCCCCCCTTTGCCTATCCCCCCCCCTGTCGTGCGGCCCGAGGGCGGCAGCCCGTGCCCCAAGAGCTCGGCGGGCAGAGCTCCCCCGCAAATGGCCCGCTGCGCGCGCGCAGGCCGCTGGGCCGGGGGCGCCGTGCAGCCCCGGGTGGCGGCGCGAGCGCTCGGGCTCCGCGGGCGCCCCGCCCCCCCCCGCCCCCGGCTGGCCAGCGAGGCGCCTGTTGCGCCCTGCGAGGTCCCCTTGGCGGCGCGCACGACGGGGTGGGGGAAAGGGGAGGGCTTCTTGGAGGGAGGCTGCTTCTCAGAGGGCGCCGGCCTTGACCTCCACAGACAGGGCCCGCGCCTTCTGAGAAGCAGGGGTGCTTCTGAGAAGCCCTCCCCCCTCCCCCCACCCCCCCTCTGCGCGTGGCTGGGTTCCAGTGGCGCAAGCAGCGCCTGCGGAGTTCCAGCGGCGCACAGCTCGCCGAGGCGTTGCCTTCGAAGGTGCCTTCGGCTGGGCTGGGGAACGCGTGCAGCACAGCAGGGCGGCAGCGCGAATTCGGGGTCGGCTGTGCCCTCCCCCAGACGGCCAGCGACGTTCCTTCCGCTGGGAAGGGGACGTGCGCAACTCTGACGAGGAGGGGGAGGAGGAGGAGGGGGAGGAGGGGGGGCAGGAGGAGGAGGAGGAGGAAGAGGAGGAGGAGGAGAAGGAGGAGGAGGAGGAGGAGAGCAACTCTGATCGGGGGCTCACGCTCGGGGACAGGGTTGTCCGGCAAGGCTCGTCCATATCAAGTTGCTGGCGGGTGCCTGTCTACCCGCGGGGGGCCCGAGCAGGTCCAGGTCGCCAGCCGGAGGCGCAAGACGGGGGCCCAGGAGCAGGATCAATACTTGGCCACGGTCAGCCCTGAATTGTGGGAAGCGCGATGTCCCTCCACAAACACCGCACCCAGGAATCGAGACTACCACTACCTCGGCCTTCCCCGAAGATACGCACACACGCACACACAAAGAACATACTCCAGATTTCGTAATAAAGGGAGGGGGTTTCATTTCGGGGGGGGGTCTCTTCCAGGCTATCTTGGAGGGCCCGGGGGGGTCCGGGGACGATGCTTTGGAGGGTTCTCCCACGGGGGGAGGTCTGAAATGGTTTGTCCGGGAGGGCCCAGGCACCCTCCCTTTTATTACGAAGTCTGGAGTATGTTCTTTGTGCGTGTGTGTGTGTGTGTGTGTGTGTGTCTGTGTGCGCGCGCGCATTTTCGGGGAAGGCCGAGGTAGTGGTAGTCTCGATTCCTGGGTGCGGCTTTTGTTGAGGAGCATCGCGCTTCCCAGACTTCAGGGTTGAGAGACCCCCCCGAAATGAGACCCTCCTCCCTTTGATTACGAAGTCTGGAGCAACATCTCCGAAGGCGCGAGGGCCTGCTCCTTCTCGCTGGCCCCCCTCGCTCGCCACTGAGAAAAACAACAACAACAAAAAAAAAAAAAGGCAGGGCGGGGCGCCGCGCGCCCCGAGCGCGTCGGCTCTGCCCCCCCCCCCCCCCCCCGCAGGGATGCAGCGCAGGGGCCTCGACGACTCGGGGCGCGCGCCGCCAGGGGCCCCCGCGGGGGCCGCGCCTCCTCCTCCTCCTCCTCCTCCTCCTCCTCCTCCTCCTCCCCCTCCTCCTCCTCCTCCTCCTCCTCCCCCTCCTCCTCCTCCTCGGGCGCGCGCCGCCAGGGGCCCCCGCAGGGCCGCGCCTCCTGAGCCGGACGGAGGCCAGGCCCCCAGCAGCGCGTCGACCTCCTGAGGCCTTAGGGTGAGGGTTTAGGGTTTAGGGTCTACCAGGCTTGGCCACGATTACACCTTGACCGCGAACCCACCTGCGGCGGCCGTCACTCCCACCCGCAAGCCACCCCACCATAAAGATCATCTCTTCCCTCGTTATAACCACATCGAATACAACGTCGACGAAGACGACGACGACGACGACGACGACGGCGACGACTGATGTGCGATCCAGTTGGCACGCGAGTGCTCTAACGGGCGGGGAGAGTCGGGCAGGCGGACCCTGACGGACGGGACGGGTCGGGCCCGGCGGGAGGAGCCTACTTTTGGGGACCCATGATGTGCTATGCCATGCTATAGTCCGGTGGCGGGACAGGCCTGGGATAGGAAGGAGTAAAAGACAACGCGCACATAGGAGCCCCCACCTTTTGGGGGACCCGCGCCGAGCTATGCCATGCCATAGCACGGTGGCGGGAAAGGCATGGGGCAAGTAGAGGTAAAAAAGGCAACGCGCGCATAGGGGTCCC